CCCCGAAAAAAAAAAAACATTCCTACTCACTACTCATCCACCTCTCCCATTCATCTGCTTCAAGATGAAGAACCATGGGAAAAAATTCCACAATTTGATTGTTTTCATAGATGACAGGGTTCACACTGTAAACTACATCACAATAGGTAGTTAGTACAGATTATTCTTCTCGTACCTGACACCATGCACATCCAACTGTGTAATTGCATTTTAAATGTACTTTACAGGGACGCTGGACCCAATTCCAAGCAGGTGTTGCTCCCCACCAATAGATGGAGCCATCCCGGCACTACTAGTTGTGTTTGATCATATCAGCACCCCTAGTAGCCGCTCGGGCTGTTTCTTACAAAAAAAAAAAAAAAAAAAAAAAAAAAAAAAAATGATGCTCAGGAAAAGGGATTCCTGTCGGCGGTGTGATGAGCTCTGTGGGGAAAGACTGGCTGCTGCCATTAACCTCAGTTTGAACTTCAGTTTTTTTGTAGCGTCCCACAATGATCAGAGCTTACCTACTCCGTACTTCAACTGTTCAGCACCAAAGACCAAACTAACGGTCAGTCGGTGGTAGATTACCGAAAAAAAAAAAAAAAAAAAAAAAAAAAAGAACCATCGGGGAAAAAAAAAAGAGTGAAAAAAAGATCAAGAAGATGAAGAACCAAAAGGAGCGTCTGTCTTGTGGTAGATCATAGCCCATGTAAATAGTCACTTGAAATCTTTTCGAAGAAAAAGCTATGATATAGAATGGCATTGTAAGTTTTCGTAGGTTTTAGTCAGTAGCATTTAGTCAGTAGGATTTTTCTGGTATGGCTAGGCCAGTAGGTTTACCCAACCCTGTTAATTTTTGTCATGTATTCCTTACTTTTCTCTTTTTCTCTTGGGGTAACTACGGCGCAGTCACGAAAGCAGTTTGTAATTGCATTTGAAACTGCATTTCAGCAGTTTAGTCAGGGCCCGAGTTTCCATTGCAGTTGAAACTTGGGCTGCGCAGTTCAGTCAGGGCCCTCGCTTATCCACGAACAGCAGATTAAAAAAAAAAAAAAAAAAAACATCCCTTATGCTGTGATTGCTGTCCTATACAGGATGCTACAGTGTTTGTCTGGAACAGCCCTTCCTGGCTGGCAGGGCACTACAAGGACATCACACAAGAAACAAAAAAGGAAAAAGACCTGTTTCATGTTCCTCACTTCCTGGCCAGATACATTCCTCAAAGCACTGGTGAGGTGATTCCCGAGGTAGGTGGATTCGAAAGTTCCTCGTTTCTTTACTTTTTATTTCTTCTTTTTCTTTTTTCTGTTTTTGGCCTCCATCCCTTCCCCGAGCCCCCCACTTCTTCGGAGTAGGCTACTCTTGAGACTTCGCGTTTGCCTGTGAAGGGTAGTACCTGCGAATCTCGGCTGCGGCCGAGACATCTCGGCCGTGGCCAA